CTTTCTTTCTTTCTTTCTTTCTTTCTTTCTTTCTTTCTTTCTTTCTTTCTTTCTTTCTTTCTTTCTTTCTTTCTTCCTTCCTTCCTTCCTTCCTTCCTTCCTTCCTTCCTTTCTTTCTTTCTCTCTTTCTCTCTTTCTTTCTCTCTTTCTTTCTCTCTTTCTTTCTCTCTTTCTTTCTTTCTTTCTCTCTTTCTTTCTTTCTCTCTTTCTTTCTCTCTTTCTTTCTCTTTCTTTCTCTCTTTCTCTCTTCCTCTTTTCCTCTCTTTCTCTCTTTCTTTCTCTCTTTCGCTCTTTTTCTCTCTCTCTTTCTCTCTTTCTTTCTTTCCTTTCTTTCTCTCTTTCTCTCTTTCTCTCTTTCTATTGTTTTTTTTTTTTTTTTTTTTTCCAGGACAACCTGTTAGTGCAGCCTGGACAGAAGCATAGGCTGAGGTCAGCTGTCCTTTACCCGGCTAGAAAGCAGGGTCTTAGCCCCTGGCTCCACCAGTGCTCGTTGCCGAGGGACCTGACATAAAAAAATACGGAAATATGTATGTGCGGAGCGGGTGCAGGACGTCTAGGGGAGACCGTGTTACCAGCGCTGTCAGGAAGAGCTGAGCGCCGCAAAGACCACTCAGCAAGCGTCTGGTTTTTGGGAAGCTTGTCGCAGTCTGGCCGGGCCGAGTGGCCTCGCCCCTGGGAAGGAGATTCCGGCAGCGCCGGGGACCGGAGCTGACACCGGCACGGCGCTGCCCACACGGGAGCGGCCCCAGCCCGGGCTCTGCTCGGTGCCCGTCGCCCAGCGCCGCCCGGGAGCGCCGCCCTCAGGCTCTGTCCCACGCGTGGGCCGGSCGGCCGATGCAAGCGGCGGGAGCTTTAATTTTAACGTGGAGCGCCGTTTCAGTTCGTTCCGGTCTAAGTTTCTCCCGGCAGGAGCAGCGTCTGCCGGCCCTTCGGTTTGACCTGCAGGGTCTTACTCAATTTAACCCAAATGCCATCGTCTTCTGGACGAGAATCTCTCGGCAGTGCTTGCGCGGGCCAGACGTTTAGCTCTGGAAGGAGCTATGAGGTTATCTCCGCCTCGCTATGCCTTCCCTGCTCTACACTGTTCAGCCTTCTTTTCGTTTTCCCGGGTCTGTCTCCTGCAGAGGGTCCCTCATGCCCTTTCCAGGCTGGCCCAAGCCTGTGCAGCGCGCCGCCGAAAACAGCGGTGGGACCCCGTCAGCCTCCCCCACCTTCTCACTGTACTTACTCATYCACACCTCCCCACGGTGGGAAATCTCTTTCCCGTCTGTTCCCAACCTGMAAACCTCTCCTATTCAAGCGGGCAAGCAGTAACCGTCTGGGAACGTGCCTGTGCCCGGAGCCGAGTGCTTTGGACGGGGAGAGATCCTGGGTGCTCCGAGAGCAGGAGTCGGTGACTGCCGGTAGCGTCCCTCCTTCCGGGGGGAGCCCACAGAGAAGGCGTCCGAGTCGGGGGGCTGTTTTCCGTCCCTCCCTCCGCCCCTCGCACGGTTCTGTACTCCGGTCGCTGAGTTTTTATTTACAAGAATTCGTGGGGGTCCCCTCAGGCACGCTCGGACCGTCGCTCCCGAGCCCCTGCCCCCCGGAGCTCACGGGGGATAAGGAGGCTTCTCACTCTTCTCTCGCTCGGGAGCAGGGCCCAGGCAGATGAGGGCACTGCTTGGGGTCAATATTTGCTTCAGAGCTTTTGCTGAGTGAGAATGCCCTTTTTATCTCCGACCGAGACGATTWAGTGGCCTCCTTCCTCCGACGGACGCAAGGTAGGAGTGGGGCACCCCCTTTTTCCACAGTACCTCTTCCTCGCCAGGACCCGGGCTCTGGTTTTCCTGGGCTGACCAGACGTGCCCTCTCGGCCGCCTCATCCCCCCCTCTCGGCCGGGCCCTGGCTGCCCGCTGCCGGCTCCTCGCCCGCCGCTTTCCAGCCCCCTCAGCCGCCGGGGGCAGGGGCTCCGGGACGGGGGCAGTGCCTTCCGGCTCCCCGGGACCGCGGCCCCTGCGAGGCCCAGTCCGGCCGCGCCCTCGGGGCACCGCGCAGCGCTCCGGGGGCACCGGGCCTGCGGGCACTCACGGGTGGCACTCAGGGCCATGCTCCTTTCATGGCCGCTGTGCCAGGCCCCGGACACATTGTGCAGCTCGTTGCAACACTCATGTTCTGTTACCAGATTTTATTATATTTTATTTTATTTTATTTTATTTTATTTTATTTTATTTTATTTTATTTTATTTTATTTTATTTTATTTTATTTTATTTTATTTTATTTTATTTTATTATTTCAGAGCAATTAATAGCATTTCATTTTCTAGGCATCCTGCAGAGTCGACATAACTAATAATATCTCACCCGTCTGAAAATACTTATGTATCAGACCAATTAAAGAAGAAAGAAGCATAAGTAATGGAATGAAAAATCATGAATGTTGATATCTGATTGYTACAGTGATGACACTTTCTGCTTTGTGTTGTTTTGATCTTTTTTTTCTGTAAGGGTAACAAAAGAGTTCTTAACTAGGTAAATCATTACCCATCATATACAACCAGTTTATTTTTGCTAATACTGTTAGGTTTATGTATGCTRTTTTCAGAATTGTAGCTGGCAGGATGCCCACACTTCAGGATGTGATTGGCCAAGTGTGTTTTACTTATTTTATGCAAGAATAAATGCACCTGATAATTGTCATTTTATTCAAGACCAGCCATATAGGTATACATCTCAGTTATAGTTTGTTTTATTTATGTTATTATATGCTGAAACATAAATGCAGATGCTTCTGTTGTGTTTTTCAATCACTATGTCAGTTCTTGTTCAATTATTTGATATATTTTTTTTAAATTTGGGTTGGTTTGCTTTGTTTTTAAAGTAGCCACAGTGCTATGGCATGGAAGAAACAATATCAGAAGAGATGGGAATATGATTATGCACAGACGTAAACAAAAGTACGAACACCCAAATTCCAAAAATGGTGTTCCAGGATATACRTGGATTTTTGCAGGAAGCAAAAAGAAAGCAAATTAAGGCAGTGTAGTTAATCTAAAAAAAAACTGGTATTAGAAACAACACTTGATAAGAGAGGCACCTATGCATGAATTCTAGAATTATTTCTTTGTTAAAGTTTCCCCATTAACTTAATGAACCAAAATCTGCCTCCCTTGCACCAACAATATCTGCTGCTTGAATCAAAGGTATTTCCAATCTCCAAGAGTCTTATTTCTCCAAAACTTGGCAGTGTCCTCTTTGAGGACATCTGTTTTATGAATAAAAAACAAATATCTCTGTATTGGACAAAAGATTCAGGGCTGATCAACTCTTTATAATATTAATTTTAATATACTAGTTCAGTTCCTCTGCAACCTGACTTTCCTATGCAGAAAGTAGACTTGGTTTGATACCCTTAATTTTGAGTGAAGGAATGCTACATTTCTTTCAGTGCATATCAACATATTTTCAAGTTGTTTACTATCTTCTACTATCTGCCAAGAGCTGTTTCCCCCTCTYTCTCTCTCTACAGCAGTTTTAGAGGAAAGCATTGGGAGACACAGTATCCATCCTAGATGGCTTTCTTGGCTGACTTCAGCTATGAAGAATCAAATGTACAAAATAGAGGCTGACTTTATTTAAGCTCCTCCCCAGAGAGYAGTTCCACAGTGTTCAGTGTTATCCAGCTTACAGTTCCTAGAGCATAAATTAATACAAGCTGTATTAACTACACATTTTCTCG